GGCGGGCCGCCGCAGGCCTCGCCACCCGCGGCCGCACGCGCGCTGGCGGTCCATGCGGCGCCCGCCAGTAAGCTGGCGAAGCTGGAGCGGCCGGCGTGGCGAGGGCCTAGCTGCGACAGCGACACCTTGGGGGGCACCGCACCAGCACAGGCGCCCGCCTCGGCAGCGCTTGCCGCCAAAGCCCTCGCCGCGCGCCTCGTCGCGACGCCACGCGCAGCACGGCAGCCGTCTTTGGACCAGCAATCACAGGGAGCAGACTGCGCGCCGTCGCACCATGTCAGCGCGAAACAGGCGGCCGCTATTCTATGGGCAGCCGCCTGCCTGGCGTCTCACCCGCCGCAGCATGTGCTGCTCGCGCTAGCCGAGGCCTTGGCCTGCGGCCTGCCCGCGCTGAGCGACTTGGACGTGCTCAGGTCGCTCTGGGCGCTCGGGCGCATGCGGCTGCCTGCGGCGAGCGCGGATGGCGCCGCGCTGGCCGCCTGGCTTGTGCACGCCGGCTGGCGGCGGCGGGCCGGCGTGGCGGTGCGCCCGGTGCGGCGCAAGCTGATGGCTGCGCTGGTCGTTTTGAACGGCGGGAGTCTCTGCTACCAACCCAACCCAAGTGGTGGCTTATTGTGTTGACGCAGCCTGCCTGCGTCGCCGCGCGGGCCTTGTTCCATGCAATGCTGCGCCGCCGCTGCGGAGGGGGGGAGTACCCCGCTTGGCGCATGCACTCGAGTAATATCGACGCAGCACCCTGCATCGCCGCAGCCATGAAGTCACTTACCGAGTGGCATTACGTCAAGGTTGCAGATTTTTTATTTGTTCTCGGTGCGGTTTTGCCTTTGAAAGGGCGAGAGCTGCACATCGAGTTGCAGCCAACCTCGGCAACTGCACGGAGACCCCCGCAGACAAACGAGGGTTAATAATTGATGAAATAAGCTTTTTAAAGATGATGCGCCGTGTGCGATCGAATGGGGCGAACACCCCGGAGCTGCTGCCGGTGTGCGGGCGGGCCGGCAGCCCCACGCTGAAGAAGACACGCCGAGGGATCGCGGGGTGAGTCTGAGATAACAAAAGCAACACAATTGGCTGCGGTGTGGCCGGCGCGTCCGGGCGCTCACTCACGGCCGATGCCTGGCACCAGCGCGCGCTGATGTTGGGGCGCTGCATCGACGCAGGAACGCGGCACTTGCAGCGGTTGCGCTGTTTGGCATCTGCGGCTTGGTGCTAGTCAGCCGCACGGGCAGCAAACATCACGGCCAAGAGCTGGTGCGTGTGGGCGGTGGACCTGGGCGCAACAGAACCTCGACCTCGGGTCTTGGTTGTGCAGCTGATGTGGGATCGGCGGCTGAGCTTTTTGTAACAGTCAGCAGGAAGCTCTGTGACTGCTGCTACTGTACAGCATCCTCCAGCCTTACTAATGGCGAGTCACGTGGGTCGCCGGAGCAGGGCGTGTACACCTGCTAAGGGCTGCCCCGCACCTACATTCAAATCGGTGCTGCGCGCCCCGCCTCATGCTCTCGCTACGCGCCGCCCGACCGTCGCGCCGCGCAGCACGGTGTCCACGACGCCGGCCACCATTCGTGGCACGAGGACTGGCACCACCACGACGCGGGCTGGGACAGCCACCGAAACCTGCAGCAGCAGCAGGGGCACGAGCAGCAGCACCAGCATCAGCACCAACAGCACCATGACCTGGCCAACCCCCACGGCGACCACGGCCACGATGCACACCACTGGGATCAGCCGCGCCACCACGACCCCCACTGGGACCAGCGGTCGCACCATCAACACAACGGGCAGGCCCACGGCGCCCACCAGGACGCGCACGGCGCGCAGCACACGCCGCGTGCGCACGGCGTGCACAGCACAGACCCGTACGACCACTCGGCGGACCACAGGGACATGGCCCACGAGCACGCCGCGGGCGGCCACGATGACGTCATCCTGCACGGCGGCGACCACGGGCACGCGCCGCTGCACCACGACTGGGATAGCCAGCACAGCGGCGGCGACCACTGGGGGTCGCACGACCCCCACCACGACGGGGCCGCCGCCCACCACGAGCACGCGGGTCACCACGACGCAGGTCACCACGACCCGGGTCACCACGACGACCAGTGGCACCCCCACTATGACGAGGCTATCCAGAAGTGGTATGAGGAGCAGGCCGCGCTGCCGGACCCCGTGGAGGACTCGGCACACCACGTCGACCACGCGCACGCGCCGCACCACCTGCACCACCCGGATCACGCCGTCCCGCAGGGGCTGTACACCTTGGTGGGTGCGAGCGAAATCAGGGGGAGGAGCGCTGCACCCAAGGGGCTGTACAGGACCGTGCGCTCTACAGACCTCTGGGCCCGCGGTTGAGCCTGTCAGCTGGCGAGCAGCTTTGCGTACGTGGGCAGGGCGCACGGCGCAGTTTTGGGCGGCGCAGCCGGGCAACTGACTCAGGTAGCTTTGCTGGGCAAGCGCCGTAGATGGCGCCACCCTCAGGCGCTGGAAGAGGTCTCCATCCCCACACTATCCTCGCCGCACCCTGCCTGCCTTGTAAACCCCAACCCAAACCCGCAGGAGGCCACCGACATCGACGGCCGCCCCCGCCGCCTGAGCGCGCTGGCGGGCCGCGTGACGCTCGTCGTAAACGTGGCCAGCCGCTGCGGGTCCACCGACTCAAACTACCGCGGCCTTCAGTCGGTCTGGGAGAAGTATCACCCCCACGGCCTTGAGATCCTGGCGTTCCCCTCGGACCAGTTTGGGCACCAGGAGCCGGGCAGCAACGCGGAGATCAAGGCGTTCTGCAAGGGCCACTACAACACCAGCTTTGAGCTGTTCAGCAAGGTGGGGGCGGGGGAGGGGTTGCGCATGTGCGTGCAGATGCGTCTGAGCATGCGTGGTTCTGGAGGATTGAGGGACGCTTCGTTGTCACGGGAATGCGGGTCGCGGTCATGTTTCTACCTTGAATTGGGTCTCAAGCCTTCCCGCAGTGCCTTGTGCCTTTCTTGCCGACAACAGCCAACAACAAGGCGAACGCCCGCCACGCTGCGGCTGCGTCCTCCCCCTACAGCGGCAGACATTATGCAGCAACACTACCTGGGGGAGGTGGTGTTGCGGCCCCAATAAAACCTATTCCAACATCAGCCGCCCAACACGTGCACCCCGTTCCTGCACCCTGTGTCGCCCGCAGGTGGACGTCAACGGGCCGCACGCCCACCCTGTCTACCAATACCTGAAGAGGGAGCTGCCAGTGGCGGAGGGCGGCGGCGGCGGCCACGGGACCGGCAAAGACCTGGTCTGGAACTTCCAAAAGGTGCGTCGCCTACAGGTGTAATCGTTGGTCTGGCAGCTGCTGTGGCTCTGCTTTTTATGGGTGCGGCAAATTGTGTGTGAATCATGCCGTTTCTGTGTGTTTAGGAAGGGGTGGGGTTGAGTGGAGATGTGAGTTGAAGGCGCACTCGAGATGCGGCCGGTATGGGCTTTACGTGGCTTGGGACCGGGCGGCAGGCTTTTGCCTCTCCATTTGTCAACACATCTGGCCCGTGCTCGCTGCCTTGTGTAGTGGGTCGCGTGTGCCCTGCGCTGCACCGCATGACCCCCGCTCTCACCCCCTCCCCTGCAACCCCTGCAGATCCTGGTCGACCAGCGCGGCCGCCCCGTCAAGCTCATCGGCCAGGCATGGGACCAGGCCGAGGTTGAGAACGCGATCTATGATCTGCTGCTGGCCGGGGAGAAGGAGTACGAGGACTGGCTCGCCACAGAGCACGACCACCACGCGGGGGAGCACGTGCCGGACCACGACCAGGCGCACCACGCGCACCACGGCGGCGGCGGCGGCGCGCATGAGCAGCACAAGTACCACGAGCAGCACTATGAGCAGCAGCACGGGCAGCAGCAGCACCATGAGGCGCACCACGAGCAGCAGCATGGGCAGCACTGGCAGGAGCACGGGCAGCAGCACCATACGGACCACGATTCGCATGAGTGGCAGCACCATGATCACAATCACGACCAACATCACCAGCAGCAGCACCAGCAGCACCACCAACAGCAGCAGTAGCAGCACCATCATCACCTCCGCAGGTGATCAGGCCTGGCATCTCAGGCATGGAGATGACGGCCCGACGTGGGCATGTCAGCATGCTCGTGCGATGAAGCTGCGCGCGCAAGCGATGGGCGCAGCTTTGCTGTTTGCGGCTGCTCAGTGCTGCCACCGGCAGGCGTGGGCCAAGCCCAGGATTGTTTGGCCCTTGCATACGACCTGGGTGGGGCGCCGCGCTGGCTGGCGTCTGAGCGTTGAGCAATTGACTGCTCACCCACCACGCAATGCGCGTTGGCTGGTTCAGTTCCGGTGAGGCCTGTTCGTCAGCAGTCTGTGAGCGTTGGTTTGCACGAGTTGGTGCCGCCGCGGCTCACACGCTAGGCCTGCTACCCCTGATTTACACAGGCTCACGGCCCAATCTCAACCCCCATTTCAGTTTGGCCGCACCCTGTGCTTCCGCTGGGCAACTGCCCGACACAACTCAGCATACAAGCAGGATGGCAGCATTCGCCTGGCACGGCTGTGCGCAGTGCTGCGTTGGCGGCGCTTGTCTGCTCCTAGAGTGCATTGTGAGCACATTTGTCCGAGAGGGTCTTTGCTGCAATGCCGCCCAAATATCGGGCCTGCCGCCTGCAGCTTCCGCTTGGAGGGTGGCTGCAGGTGCCGGTCGCTGGGCCCTTCTGCCTGGCTGCCATAGTCTACCATGATATTTCTGCCTGGCTCGCTCAACGCTCACCCGACGCCAGCCCCCAGCTGCGGCCCCCTGCTGCCGCACCTGTCAACTCAACCATTTACCAATTGCAACGCACTGTAACACTGCAATCGACCGTCTGGGGAAACAGTCAGTTGCGCCCGCTGGCGTGCTAAGCCGAGCGGCGTGCCCCGGTGCGCCCCTTGCCCCCAGCTGCCTGTTTGCCGCCCGCCGCCACAGCCGGCCCTGCAGCCGGCTGCGCCGGGGCCTCGACAGCAGGTGTCGTCGCCGTGCCGCCGCCGCCGCCGCCGCCGCCGCCGCCGCCGCCGCCGCCGCCTCCCGCTGCCGCCCTGCGCTCCGCCCGTGCCTGCTTCCCCGGACGCTTGCGCTTGGGCGCTGCCTCTCCGCCCTCAGCTCCCTCGGGACCAGCCTTGTTGCCGCCGCGGGGCCCGCCCTTCTTGCCGCCGCGCTTGGCGCCTTGCGCAGCGGCGGCGCCCGCAGGCGGATCTGCCTTTAGAGCTTCCCGCTGACGCTTGCCCGGCCGCTTGCGCGCAGGCTTGTCCCCCTCCTTGCGCCGCCCCTTGCCCTTAGCCTTCTTCCCGCCTGCGGCGGGCGGCGGGGGCGCGGCGCGCCGCGGCGGCGGCGGAGATGAGGCACAACCAACACAAGCTAGCGCACGAAAGCCCGCACCAAGGGACTAGGTCGGGCCCTGGTTTGACCACACCAATGCCAACGCTCTAGCGGGAGCCCCGCCCTCGCTCGAGCCCGCCCCCACGCCTTCCGGCTGCCCTGCTGAACCGACCGACCTGCCGCGCCGCCGCCCTCGCTGCCGCCGGCCGCGTCCTGAGCGTCGAGCTCCGCCTGCCGCCGCAGCCGCGCCAGGCGCTCCCCGTGCGTCTCCCCGGTCTCTTCCCCCTTCGCCGCGTCGGTGGCAAACACGATGGCGGGCCCCAGATGCTCGGGCCAGCTCCTCATGGCGCCTATGTGCTTCTGCTCGTGGGGGAGCGTGGGGAGGGGGTGCTGTCGGCTGTGCGCGTGCAGGCGAGGGGCCGCGTGCGTGCGCGGGCGTGGCCGTTTCCACGCACGCGGGTGGGCGCGCGGCGCAGCCCGGGCGATGGTGCGCGTGTCGGCACGCCCCGCGCCGTCCGCTAGGCGTGGCGTGCCCACGTGCACCTGCGTGGGCGCGGGAGCGGGCGGGTCCCGCGGCGGCGCGCCCCCGCTGGCGGCGCACACCTTGGACTGGGCGTGGGCACGGTACCCCTGGGCGTTGATGAGCAGCGCCTTGCAGGCGACGCACCGCAGGGCCACTCCCTGGGGGTTGGAGGGGGTTGCAGCGCCGGGCCCTCTGCAGCGAGACGGCCGAAACAGGGCCAGCTGTGCGTGGTGCAAATGCATTGTGGTGTCGCCCGTCCCCCACTTGATCTGCTCTCACAGGCTCCAGGCGGGCGGGCGGCGCTACAGCATCGCAGCCAATGCAAGGCAACATGGTTTTTTTTGGGGGGGGGGGGAGCGCGGGCGCGCACCCTGACGGCCTCTTGCAAGGGCGCCGCCTCCCAGTTGCTGCGGCGGTTGTACGGGACGCACGCGGCGCATGGGAGGGTGAGTTGAGGTGCCAGGAGCCGCCTACGTCTGATTGCAGCGATTCGGGCCAACTGGGCCGTTGCTGCCGCAGACAAGCCCCAACGCCGCTGCAGGCGCGCAACCCCTCGGGCGGTTTGGCTCCATCTTACTACTCCACGCGGCCTCACCGTATTAGCTCCTCCACGCGCAGCTCCCCGCCCTCCTCGTCGCTCCCATCCCCGTCGCCGCTGCTGCTGCCGCCGCGATCATCGCCGCCGCCGCCGCCGCCGCCATCCGAGACAGCGCCGACGTCCGAGCCGCTGGGGCCGCCGTTGCCCACCAAATCGTCGTCATCGTCCCCGCTGCCGCTGCTGCCCTCGCCGCTCTGCTCACCCCCATCCGAGCTGTCGTCTTTTCTGCCCCCCGCCACTGACTGCTCTGCCCGCTTTGCCCGCTTTGCCGGCGCCGGCTTCACACGAGGGGCTGCAGACGCCCGCGGACGCTTTGAAGCGGCGGCCCCAGGGCCTGGGCTGCCGTCCTCGGAAGATACGTCGTCGTCACGATCTGCATTGCGGGGTGGGGTAATAGTTGTATGAAGCAAGCAACCTCATGGCACCCGGCGGCTGCCAAAAGCCGCGCTGCTGCTGTCGCCATGCGGCGGCCCAGGCCACGCGTGCTGCCGCATCCCTTGTACGACACACCAAAGAGTCCGAAACATCCGTTTGGCTTGAAAACCCCTTCCGCAACCCGCAGTAACTCACCCGAGTCGTCGCTGGTCTCGCTGCCTGAGTCGCCACCCTCCTTGCCGTGCACAAACTGCCAATCTTGCCGCTTCAACATCGATGCTGCCGTATATGCTGGGTGGGCTTGCTTGATACAGTGAACGGTGCAGCTGATCTGCCAGCACTTGCGGATCTCAACGCAGCGCGTTTGTTGGCAAAGACGGAGGCATGACTTGTGTGTAGAAATTGCAGCATTTGAGGGGTAGTGAATATCGGTGACGGCAAGAGCCTGACTACGCGAACTCCACCCGCAGCAGCTGCTCGCGCTGCTGAATATCAGTCAACCGAAAAGTGTGCACGCATTGCGGCGTGCGCATGTGCCATCACAGCGACGTGGCAGAACCTCAAATACACGTAATCTGTCGCAAGGAAAGACTCCAAAGCACCGTGGATAGTTGGTCGCCGAGGAAGAGCGCGGCAGCGGCAGGGCGCAGCAGGGCGCGGGCGCCCAGCAGCAAGTGCGGGCGCCCTAGCTCCCGGGATTGACCCCCAGCGCCAGCTTGGTCTGCTCAAAGACGTACCAGCTGATGCCTGCGGCCGGCGCCAGCTTTATGAGGTTTGGCAGCAGCCCCTGCAGTTAGGCAGGACAGCGGGCGTGTCGGAGGCTGATGACGTCGTGATGCCCCAGCTGTGAGCGGCTTGCACGCGCACACGCACACGCGAACGCATGCATACTCACACCCACGTACCCACACGAGCAGACAAACCTGCTCGCACACATGCCGTTGCAAACTCTGCATCAGATAGCAGCAGGTGCACCACTGCTGGCTGACCCTGGAGCCAGGCACCAAACGCCTGCCGACCCATCCACAGACATACAATCCAACCCAACAGCCCCCTCGGCCCACGCCCCACGCCCGCGCGCCTTGTACAGCCCCCTGACGCCCTCGTTCCTCATCGTCTGCGAGAAGACGTCCAGCATGCCGCTGTACTTTATGGGGTTGCCGCCGACGCCCTGCGCCTGCAGCCGCGTGCGCACGAGCGCCAGCGGGTAGGAGACAAACTGCGGCGGCGCGCGGGGCGATCGGCGCGAGGCAGTGCGCAGCCGTACAGTCAGCGTGGGAGCTGAAGCAGCACCGCACCGACGGCCAGGAGCGGCGGCAACCCCAGCCACGCCAGGCGCATGAAAGGTCGGCGCCAGCCGACAGCAGCGCCATGCAAAGCACGCGCGGCGCAGCAGCGCCACGCAGAGCACGCGCAGCGCGGCGTCTGCCGCGACCCAGGTGGGCGGGCGTGCGCCAAGCGGCGCGCGGGCTCGCACCTGCGCGAACACGCTGGACACCATGCCTGCCCCGATGATAGCCAGGTGGGGGGGCTCGCCGCCGTACCGGTCGTGCAGGTGTTCGTTCAGAATCTCAAACAGGGCTATGTCGGTGCCGGCGTACGGCAGGATGCCGCACTGCGGCGCGGTTTGGGGTGTTATGGGGCAGAGGGACCTTGTGTGCAGCTCCCTGCTGGTTCTGATCGAGGTGGTGCGGCCCCCTGCCGCCTGGGGTGACCCTGCGCAAGGCACCCAGCAATTGGGCATGCGTGCCCGCTGCAGACACCAGTCCTGCCGGCCCCTGGGGCAGCCAAGCAGCTGCGGCAGCTGCCACAGCCCGGCTAGCTGCTTTCCCTGGCAACCCTGCGCAGCTCCTCAGCAACCCAGGCCCCACAGGGCGGGCGTCTGCCGATGTGCCGCGGCCGCACCATGGACGGCACGAGGCCGCGGTAGAATGCCGCGAAGCCCTCGTTGCGCGCGAGCCGCACGGCCGTCTGCCAGATCCCGGCGTACTCGTCCGTGTGGCAGACCGCCAGCCGCGTGCGCACGGTGTCGAGGGGGTACACCAGCCCCTGCCAGGGTGTTGTTGTTTGCTCAATGTTGTTCGTTCGCTGCCGCAGCGCCAACCATGCACATATAATCCAGGCTTGATGGGCCCGTGCCCCTGCCGTCGGCTGCAGTCTGTCGAAAGCGCGGACGTGTTTGCGCCGCCGCCGCCGCTGCATCCGGCGGGGCGCCCGCCGCGGCCCCCCGAGCTCCCGGCGTCCCTGCTCTTCATCTGGCCCGCACCTGCCCGACCGCCCCCGACAAGCCGCCGCAGGCCACCCTCTCCCAGGGCGATATGTCCCGGTGGTCCTTGCCGATATGGTGCTTCAGCCAGTCGTTCAACGTCAGCTTGATGCTGGTCTCGGGCGCGATCTGGAGGGCAGCCATGCGGGGTGGACCGCGAGGCAGCAACGCGGCGCCCCTGTCATGCGTCAGGTCGCGCACCCCTCCCGCGTCCCCAGCCGGCCGCCGGGGGGGGGAAGGGGGGCGCGGTTTGACGCCACGCGGCCCGCAGCGAAGCTGGCGCGTGCCACCGGTGCCCCTGCCCCCACCGTCCTTGCGTCCCTGCCGCCTGCCGCGGCGGCGCCCCACCTTCAGCGCGTTGGTCCCGTTCCCCTTGAAATATGCCCGTAAGCTGCCTGCGGGGCACGCAGCGCGTACGCTTTGTTGCACAGGAGCACGCGCTGGCACGGCGGTGCCGTCAAAAGGCTACGCCAACCTGCAACCGCCAACCACCGCCTCTGGCGCTCCCTCGGCGGCTTGCCGCCGAACAAGGGGCCGGCGCAGCAGGGGCCCGCCCGAGCGTGGGGCGGCTGCCGCCGCCGCGGCCCGCCCGCCCACCTTCCGACGCCATGATCTTCAGACCCTGCCGCAGCGTGAGGTGCTGCGACTCCTGCACCTGCAGCAGCATCTTCAGCCTGTCGACGGGCGCCGTCGCGGTGCGGCTGACGGCGCCGGCCAGCCCTGCAAGGGGGAGGGGCGCCCGGGCGCGGCACAGGCGTGTTGACAGCCAGTTGACGAGCGTGACAGCCCGCGGTGCGGAGAAGGCGCGGTGCGGCCGTGCCTTTGCGCGACCGCTGTGGCCGAGCGACGACCATCCGCCACGGGAGATGGAAGCCAACCTCGCGCGCACCTCCTGCAAAGACAAACTTGGCCGCCCGCCATTTGTCCTCTGTCATGAATGGCGTCCCCGGCTGCTGCTGTAGCTCGTGGGCCGGCTGCTGTTGCTGCTGCTGTTGCTGGGAAATGGGCCGCTCCTGATTGTGATGCTGCGGCTGCCATTGCTGCTTGTGCACAGTCGTGTTCGGCGCCGCCACGCCTGACGTGGTGGCATCCCCCGAGTGCATGGCGGCGGCCGGGGCGCCACTGTTGCTCTTAACGTCCACACTGGCTATTGAATGAGTGGGCTGCGAGGCGTGCTGTTGTCAGGGCTCCCAGCAGCGGCGGTGACGCGACACAACCGCGTTCGATGCAGGGTCCCGGGGCGTGCCGCCGCCCCCCCGGGCCTTGGCGTCGCAGCTGCCAACCCTCGGATATTACTAGAAATTTCAATACGAAACCGCCGCTGGCGTGCGAGCAGGGACACGCAAGCGATCAGAGCAGCAGCTGCAATTCCCTCCCGAGGTATAACATCCCAGGATCAGATATGAGGATGTCTGATGTTGAGCTATATGGACTTTGAATCAGTGTGCAGAGTTGAAAGGCGCTCAACGATCTCGGAGTGCTCAGTTGTCACTTCGAATGTCTACTGGGCTGCTTCACCGCGCACACATGCCATATGCATTGAAAAATGTTAGCGCATTAAAAAGTATTGCGGCTCTGCGGCGAGCTAGATCGGTTGTTTTTAGCGTGAAGCGCAGCATGCCAGGCACAGCACGGGCTTTCAGGGGGGCCTTAGGCCACGACATGAGGGATCATACAGCATCTAAGCCGTGACAAGGGAGGTGCCGGTACAGGCAGTGCAGCAGCGTTGGCTCCGTGGGACCCCGCACCGCCGCTTTCAGGCGCTTCGACGTCATTGGCGCCATGCCGCCCTATGCCTGCTGCAGTGATGTGCCGTTTGAGAACCTGGTGCGCTTTCTGACGTGCTTTGAGAACGCCAAGAAAGGCGATGCCAAGAACAGGCAGCTGGTCGAGTTCAGGACCAAGAATGTGGTCCGCCCCAGCAAAGACGTCTATGCTATCTACCGCCTGCTGCTGCCCGGGGTGCGCATGTGCATGTGCATGCGTCGGCGCGGTTGGCTGCAGCCTGTGCTCTGCACCGCGTTGAGAGTGCGCACACTTCGCGTATCGAGGCAGCAGGGTGCTGGTTTCATGCGCGCCCGCCCCCGCCGGCACCGCACCACTGCACTGCGGGGCCGCTGCGGCGACAGCTTCGCCTTCCCCCCTCCTCACCCCCCTATGC